TCTGAAGATACAAATGACCTAATTTCTAAAATTAACTTTAAATTCCACATTTTAATTCCACAATAAGAACATGATTGGTGGAAAATGTCTCAAAGTTTGGATTCTGTTTAGATTTAAAACAGGAAAAAAGCAGGAAAAGCTGAGATTTCTGAGCTCTTTGAACACAACAATGATTTTCCTTTATCTAAAGACCTAAAAAGCAGATTTTTCAATTATTTTCTTTATTCTAAAGACCTAAAAAGCTGATTTTTAAATGATTTTCTTTAATCCAAAGACCTAAAAAGCTGATTTTTTAAAGATTTTCCTTCATCTAAAGACCTAAAAAGTTGATTTTCAATTATTTTTCTTCATTTAAAGACATAAAAAGCTGATTTTTCAATCTTTTTCCTTCATCTAAAGCCCTAAAAAGCTGGTTTCTCAGTGGTTTTCTACAGAATTCCCCACTCAGATGTTCCTCCATTTAAATGGATCCCACACAGTATCCTCTCCTTTCTCAGGTCACATGGGACAGCAGCCCTGCTCCCATTGGCCCGTTTGGATCAAACGTCTAACAGCATTTTCCTTTAGATTTAAAACAGTCTGATAGTGTCTGATATGAGGCCCAGAGGTCAAAGGTCAAAGAGAAAAGAAGGATCCTGGAACAGAGAGTCCTCCATCAGAAAAATGGAAATCTGGAGGGAAAAATAAGAAGCTAAGCTAAGCTAATATTAGCTAAAATAAGATAAACTAAACTAATGTTAAGCTTAATTAGCTTAAATAAGCTAAACTAAGATATACTAGGCTTAGCTAAACTAAACTTAGCTAAATTAAGATAAAATAAACTAAATAAGATAAGATACGCTCGGCTAAGAAGAGAAAAGCTAAACAAAGCTACAACAAACTAAGATAAAATAAGCTAAGGTTACATTTTCCTTTAGATTTAAACAGTCTGCTATGAGGCCAAGAGGTCAAAGGTCAAAAAGAAAAGAAGGATCCTGGAACAGAGAGGCAGCGTCCTCCATCAGAAAAAGGATATCTGGAGGTTAAAAGTTCATTAAAATATATTTGCATGCAATGTAAAAGCCAAACAAATGTTCAGGCCACTAAAGTTCATTTTCATTCAAATTGCAACGTCAAACCACTTCGATTTCTGCAGTTAAAAGCTGGTAAAGGTGAACAGAAACAGCTCATACTCTGATTAACTCACCAGGTTTTTAGGTTTAGAGGTAAAACAGACGGATATCCACCTAATTAAACCTTAAAGGTGAAGAAAGAGGCTAATATGTCTCCAACCGGGTCGTTTATCCTAAAGTTTAACCACTTTTTCCTCCCAAAACTCATTTATGGGAAAGGAAGCGTCCAGTTTAGGATCCAAAACTAAGATCCATACTGAATCCAACCTCCTGGTTTAGATAAATAAAAAATAAAGTAAAGAAAACATGGACATGGACCAGGACCAGGACCAGGACTAGGACCAGGACCAGGACCAAGACC